CAAATTTCGCAGGGCTATATTATCCGCATTTTACAACATTTCGCAACGAAACTTTGGAATATTACTAATTTTGTGATGCTCTTTCAAGCTGTGATAAACTTTTTTGTCTAGATCAAAATTTAGTCTATAATGCAAATGGTCCATTGCACAGACAATTCACCGATGTACAGTATGACTGAGTGCTTATCATGTATAGTATATTAATATATAATTGTCATGGGTGACGCCCTAGTTCTTTGAGAGCAAGTCATTATGCAATGTGACGTCATTGTGAAGAAATTTTGCATATCAAAAATTGTTAAATATCTCAAAAGCGAAACAAGTTAAGATAGTTTGGCAAAGCATCGTATTTGGTCATTTTGTATTTTATTTACAATGCAATAAAAAAAATGTTGAGAAATTTCGTAGCATAGGCACTTTAAATCAGAGTAGCAAAACATTTCTAATGTGTTCATGTCTAACATGTTCTTTCCAGGGAAAAAGATACGGAATCAGTCGATATCAATGTGATCTCGAGTTTAAACGGAAAATGTATAAAATATGCGAGTCCAGCAAGAGAAAGAGATGGGTATGGAGTGCACTCGGCAATCTGTTCACTGGCAAAGCATGCAAGGTAGCTATTGACTAATGTATTTAAAGAGCAGTTAAAATTAGCCCCATGCATTGAGTTTGCCAGATGCATTAGCCCCATGCATTGAGTTAAAGATGCAGACAACGAACAACGGGTACGGAGTACGGTTGAAAGCTTGTTCAGTTCGTATTGCTTTAACTGAGGCAGACAAAATTTACATATCCCCAGAGCATACTTTTCATCGTAGCGACCTTGGCTACAGCGTAAAATCACATTCTTGTGTTGTAAAACAGAATCAAGAACATTGCACCGAAACTGTCTACGCAATATGCTGCTGGTTGGACAGTATTTTTATAAAGACGAAAATGATGAAACTTAAAAGATGAAACTTACTGAACACAAAGCCATGCACATAAAACATATAACAAAAAATAAACTTAAACTTGCATAAAACATATAAATATTAACAAAAAATAAACTTTTTTATCGTTAAAAAATCCATGTCCATACAATGTTTTGAGGCGCGTGTTTGATCTATCAAGATTGATCTATGTATATTGTTATTGTTGTTGTTAGGCAACCGCAGATGTTTACTTTGGTGCTGTGGATAATTTTGGTGCAAAACACTACGAGAATCCATCGCCAAGTTGGTGTGAACGAAGCTGCGTACAAGATCTACTGGACAATTATTTTAGCTTAGTTTATTAACGTAAAGTTTGAGAAAATGATTAAATAGCAAGCAACAAACCTGAATGTATCATGTGTTACAATTTGCTGTCTCATCAGTACTTATTTCAGTGTTGGTGTGTTGCAGTTGGGCAAACTGGGGGAGTGGCTCTGAGAATTTGAGGGACAGGCATCATTAAAATGCATTTGAATTAGATAGATCAATTAGATCAATTAGCTATATGCATAGATTTCATGGGGTGTGCATTCCTCAATCCCTTAGAAAAGAGCACACTCTCCCCCCTGAAAAATATGCACCATGCCCAAGTGTCATTCAGGCCTGGAAGGTGGATCCAGGTCAACCCATTGGCAGCACTCAGTCAGGGACAGGAGGTGCAGGGGGGTGTCAACCTCCAAATACAATAACATAGCATGGACTATGCCCCAACTACAGGCCTTCGTCATCCTCTCCACCCCCTCCACCACCCTATATATTTGCTACAACCCTGCACTCAGTGCATGTTCTCGGACTATAACAGGTTGTTCCAGAAAGACCCCCACTCCCCCCCCCCAGGAGAAAATTTCTGCATCTGGAGGTGAGGAAGGAAAAATTTGTTTCTGATAATAGTAAGTGTATTAGGACATCTGAAGAGGGTAGGGGATTAACTTTACTTCCAATTTCCTCTGTGAGGTAGGTATGGATGTTTTCTGGAATAAACCAATACCAGATAATTTTATATGATGTGCCTAGTATACACTAATTTACAAGCCAGTACCCACACTACTTTATCAATTTCTGCACGTTTAATTTTCATACACTCTTTTACTAGTAGTTGCAAATAAGTACCTTATTTTTCACTGTTCTTTTTTACAATAATTGGTTTAGGACGAGTCTTGAATATAATCTTCTTTCTTACTAAAGCTTGAACAGTGTATTCAGTGGAGGTGGACTCAGATTCCTCGTCAACTATCTTTAACTTCTTAAGCACGGCAAATGGTTTCTCAAGTGTTACAACCTTGCCACTTAATAAGTGATGGCCAATAATCAGCAATGGCTGTCCCTAAATAATTAACACATTGATCTTCTAATGTTCCCAAGTGCACCATACGTTTCATTTTTATTACTCTGTAGTCTATCCAATGCAAGAAAATTTTTTAGGCCTGTTTCAAATTTTTGCATATGTTGAATTGAATGTAATTCGAGTGATATACATCAAATTGATATTGTTGATTTCAAACAGATATATACTAATATACATATTAAAACAAATTTGAATGTAACTTACTTTTTCATCAAAATGTAGATCTCCAATTGGCAGTCCATTATATCCCCCTGTTTGACTACTTTCAAGTATACCTTGTAGCTCAACTATCATCCAATCTTTCTCGGCTGGATTGCTAAAACGAACACAAGGACACTGTCACACACTATATATTTTTTGAAATGCTTCAAAACTTTGGCAAAAGACCATTTCACACGGCTGAAACAATCAAAATCCTTAACAAAAAAATACTTACTAATTCAGGATTATTTGCACCATAATGAAACGAAGTGAGAAAAATCTTAAAATTCAAAACGAACTCTAGTATTTAAAAATTTTCACCCCTCGTTGGCGGCCATCTTGCTTTGATTTTGGCGCGAAAACCCTACCCTCAGCGCGCGTATTTAAGGTGGCTAGCAACAGTTATATCTTTTATAAAATTATACAAAAATATTAAATTTCCATTTCATCTTTTTAATTTTAGTCTTTTTGCAGTAAAATATATTTAAAACGTCTTTGTTACTATATATTTTCTACTGAAAATTTTATACCAAATTCAATACTAGTAAATCATGAACGTAAAGAAGCCTGAATGCCTCATGCGCTGGTCGATCGCGTGTACTTCGTGGTCTTTAAACCTCGTAATTTGTTCCGGTCCATGAATTTCTAATCGAAACAAAATGGCAACACAAACTAAGCAAATTAAGTTGCATGGAAAAGATGATTTGGATTTGTATCATCAAGAGGCCATCAATATTGCTAAAATAGCGGGAAAAGTAGGTGGCCTATATCAGCTTTATAAATTGATTGAAATTTTTGCTCATAGTATGACAGTGCCATGGTGAAACACCCCAATCTCTATGAATGTTTTCATTTGCCCTTTCAAAGCTTGTCCGCGATGCATTCTATGCTGAGAAAAACATTGATACAAAGGATCACAAAACTGACCTAGTGACCGAAACCGATCAAGAAACGGAGAGAATTATTAAAAATCATTTCAAAGAGAAATTCCCCCCACACAGGTATATTTTCATGATGGTAATGTAAATGTTTAAAATTTCGGATTTTCTTCCATCAAAGGGTGAAAGGGATGTTGGTGGCACAGTGGATGAACCTACAGGGAACAACTTTGAAGTCTATATTACTCTGTGCATATGTGCCGTTCATGCATTTCTGTGACCAATGTTCAATTTCTACAATATATAGTTTAATATCACCTTGGCTATATATCACATTCATGAAAATGAGGCTCTATAGCCAAAGTGACATACCTTCTGGCAGGGTGTATTCCCATACCTCATTTGCATGTGGTATAGAAATATTGTAGCCAGTTGGACTGTACCAAACACCAACAGAAATCTGTAGGTACTCCAGTTAATTTCCTCCAGGACCATTAGCTTAAATGACCATGCATACACACAAACCTATAGCTATGACCATGCAGAACATATAGAAAGAGCAGTTTATAACTGAAACCCAGCATGATTGTTAGTTTGGTCTAAATCCTTGTATTCCCCATTCACTTGATGTTTCTATTGCTATAACTGACAGTTTTATAGGAGAAGAATCTGTGGCAGGAGGAGAGAAATGTAATCTAACTGACAACCCTACCTGGATTATTGATCCTATTGATGGGACAACAAATTTTGTTCACAAGTATGCTTCCGAATTTCACGATGACCTACAAGTCATTTTCATCATCTTGTTTAAAATGACTGGTGGCCCTTCATGAAATATTGGAGGCCCTTTTGTTGTTGAAAATCTCAGTTCTTTACTTTTTCTTGTTTTAAATATACTACAGTAATTATGGTCTATGAAAACTTTCACAGTTTATCATTGGAAGGCTTATATGAAATTATTGCAGGGGGAGGGCAGTTTCACAGTGTGGGGAAGGCTGGTGCATTACTCCCTGCAGTGTCATGACCCCAGAAGTAATCAGCACCAGCCAGATATTCCTTGATTTATGGAACTCTTGAAAAAGAAGAGTTACTCTATATGGACCCATATTACCCCAAAAAGGTACAAAGTAACACTATATAGCATTTATTAGAAACATTCATCATTCTTTGTTTAGATTTCCATTTTCTTGTATATCAATTGCACTTGCCATAAACAAGGAGGTAGAGATATTTTGTGCTTTGATGGGCTACTGCACGCATTATGCCACTCATTCAATTTTGTTCATTCAATGTGTTGTAGTAATGTTTTTCATCTAAATTAGCTTGTAGTTGGTGTTGTATACAACCCAACCTTGGATGAAATGTTTTCCGCAATTGCTGGGTGTGGTGCCAAGTGTAACGGCAAACCTATCAAGGCTTCTAAAAATGCAACAGGTACATTGGTGACCACAAAGTTTGTTAGCAAGGGGTCATTCCAGACAACATCCACACTTGCCCCATGGGTGGGGAGGAATGACATAATTATAAAGAGCAGCTGCAAGGGAGACTAACCCATGGAGGAAATTAGAACAACACCCCTGCTTGGGATGTCCTAATACATTTCCCTAGAAATCATAGTCTGCTGGGGAAGTGTTGTTTGTTTCAGGAATGAACCAAGTAACACATCTTCCCTTGTCAAGTAAAATCAACAAGTGATTTTTGTACAGTGTAAAATCACAAAGATTGTGGTTTTGAATTTTAGAAATCAGTCAAGCATTATTGATAACAGAAATAGGAGCAAGCAGAGAACAAGATAGAATAAATGGAATAATGGATAATTTGCAAAAACTAGTTCTAGAACCATATTTGGCCAGGGGGTGAGTTGCACATTACCTTAAAATATTTTAACCATTTGCCAAAAAATTGTTACATTAGGCCCTCTGGCATGATCAAACCACAGACCTGCATGTCAAGCCTTGATTTATGATTTTTTATAGTGTACGTGCCCTGGGTTCGGCTGCACTCAATATGTGTTTTGTTGCGGCTGGACGAGCCGATGCATATTATGAATTTGGTATTCATTGTTGGGATGTTGCGGCTGGGATTGTCATAGTGAAAGAAGCAGGTGGAATATCATTGGGAGCTGCAGGTCAGTTCATTTAACGTTTCTAAGTACTGGTAATGTCGTGGTTGGCTTGCATGCATACCTGGCTGACTTGGCAAAGTGGCCAAAGTCTAGCTAAGCAATAACGGCCGTATTCTAAAAGCACACTCACACTCAATGAATGGAAGTTCAATCTGAACTTCTCTCGAGTGTCATTGCTGTTTTTGAATAGCTGGAGGGTTAGTGTCATATACCTTACTCTGTAACTACTCACCTTCCAGCTATTCAAAAACAGCACTGACACTCAAGAGAAGCTCAGATTGAACCTCCACTCATTGAGTGCAAGTGAGCTTTTAGAATACGGGCGTAAGTAGCCCTAATTACAGACACTCAGGGAACGAGATGTTGAGCACTAGAGATTGATGATTTGCTGCACAAACATGGATTCGTAGATACTGTAGGGCATTAGATGAACTTTTGAAGTAAAAGCGGTATTTTGTTACTCGTAGTTAGCGATCTCCGGAACAAAACTGTCAAACTGATGGCACACAGTTTGTTACATCAATTGCTTGGCAGTGTATTGATCGCGTTATTCTAATCAGTTCGTCTGGGTCGCTGGTCTTGCATGTGCTGACTCCAATACGGACGATCCGTCAAACGGATCTCTTAGTAAACATCGCGCCTTTTATTTTTCAAAACTTCAACATCAATGTTTCTGATATTACTCTGAGTATGTATCCACCACCGGGTCTGAAAAGTTTGCCTGACCACGGTGGGAATCGAACTACAGTAGGTTTCCAAAAGATATAGCTGTAGAGTCCATTGGGACTGCAGCTTAATTATAAACTGTATAGAATGCGATTCTTCAATGAGATAACGATATTTTTTTTCTGATTTAGGTGACCCTGTCGACATAATGGCAAGAGAAATAGTTTGTGCTGGCAGCGAAGTTTTATGTAAAAAGATATGCAGCGCATTAACTAGCATACCACATGTCAGAGACTAAGGCCAACTGCAGAGACATTGTGAATATATGTATTGATGTCCTAAAAATGTATGATATGTCACCTAGTTAAATGATTCAATAAAATTTAAGCTTATCCAGTATGTTAAGAACGCACAAACCTGTGCGGTAAGTTATTGAAATTAAACTCGTTCAAAGCAAAGCAATAACGAAATTTAAAACAATCATTAATATCCTCGCTGTTTACGACTTCGGACTGTAGAAAGTGGTTGCAATTAGTTCTATTTGAAATGAAGGACTCTCCGTTGTACGGAAATCAGACCTTCACTATACAAGTTTTTTGATGAAAACAAACTTTGGTGAATAAATTGTCTTTCCCCCCACTAGAAAAAGTTTTTGCTGTAGTCGTGTTTCCCGAAACCGATGGTGGGCATGGGTAAACCAGGGAAACAACGGGCTAACAGGGGACCATCTGAGGAAACCTAAAAATTTTGTATTGTCTCCGCAACCGTTTTTCCAGGCTTTCCGGCGGGGCTTTAATCAAACTCCGATGACAGCACTTTGGTCACAGAGAGTGACTCTAGTCTTCTATGAAAGCCCCTTCGAAAGAAAACCTCGCATCGAAACCACGTGTCTTGCATGTGAGCGGTCTCGACTTGGCTATTTCTTTCACGTGATCTTTGGCGTTGCTATGGCAACATTTCAGAGCACCAATATCAATAGGGTGGGCCTCCGTATTGAAAATATAACTCTGTGAATGTGTCGTGCAATTGAGACTGTGATCTAAAGTCTCCGCATTGCCATGAAGGAAGTTGTCTGGATCAAAAAGTAAGTAAAGGTACTTGGTCGTTTCAGCCAAGAAAAATGATTCCATTCTGTCTTGGAGTTCATATGTGATAATATTCTTCACCTGTGTGGAGAAAGGAAACGGTTGTGATTAGAAAATCATGTTGGAAAATGATTTGCCTTATGATTAGAAGACTTGCATGAATGTTGGTGCCTCTTGTGACCGTGCAAGTGAATTTCCTGCAATATGCAGTTGTACTGTATGATTTTGCCTCCGCTGTTACGAGAAGAGTGCTCTTAGTTTGACTCTGCCGAACATAGCATTTATCCACCAGGTACTCTGACTTCCTCCTGTAGTAACGGCTGATCTACCCTGGGAGCCAGAGGGTATTGTTCGCAGTTCGCGTACGGCTGATCTGGACCTGTATGAAATGGTCCTGATCCTGTATGAAACGGTCATTACTGGACATCTACAGTACGAAGAACGGTTTACTAATAGAGTGACCAGTATAAACGGAAATTAGTTTAGGTTTCCTCCTGTCGTAACAAAATTGGAGATAATATACTGTACATAGCTCTTAAGCCCTGGGCAAACTAGGAAACAATGTTGTGGAAACATTGTTTCCTACCAATGTTTCGCCATGTTTCCCAGAATGGGCAAACACTAGGAAACATTAGTGAGAAACATAGGGAAACATCAAATGTTTCGGAAGTTGGTAGGAAACATTTTTGCTTCCCGGGAAGCAAATTTTGTTTCCGCAACAATGTTTCCGGGTGAGCAAACATGGAAACATTTGAGGAAACATCGAGAATCACAAATGTTTCCACAACAATGTTTCCTAGTTTGCCCAGGGCTTTACCATTACCTCTCTAGGCCCGTTTACACTTGCAATTTTTGCTGCGATTTTAGGTACAATTTTCTTCTGATGGATGTGAACGAGTGGAAGAGTTATGAATGTTGAGATGAGGGTATATATACTTAAAACATTCATACTCTCATCTACTCGTTCACATCCATCAGAAGACGAAAATCGCAGGTGTAAACATGCCTTATAGAGAAACGTTTGGACCAACTGAACCCACTGATCTGATTGAACCTCACAGGAAAACAGTTTACAACTTACCGTGGCGTATCCACATTCTGTCCTACAACTTGTTTCTATTGAATGTAGAATATCTCTACCAACTTCTAAGAAGTACGGATCTTTTGTGGCTTGATACAAATACATTGTGCTTTCAATCAGCTCTAAAAGTATACAAGCAGACAGATCAATCATGGGCAGTTTCGATCCAGTGTTCTATAATAGAGAAGTTCAGATTTTGACTTCCACTACCGCTACTCAGTTCCATTAACCAATCAGATGCACTTATCATACCCGATTAACCAATCAAATGCGTATTAGGCCTGTGAACCTGTCTAATCAGCTGACGTTTCCACAAAGGGGGTGAAGGACCATAAAGCTCGAGACATCGAAATTTTTTTAAGAGTTTCAAAGGTAGTTCAGACACAAACCACGGAAGCTTAAACATACAGTGTAGTAGTCTACGCTACCTGGACGAAGAGGATAATGACTTCTCTTACGTTCCCACGGGTAAACCAGCTTCGTGATTTGAAAAATTCAGAGTGAAACCCAAATTTTCTTCCAAACACTACAATGCTTCAAGGTTTTGAGGTATCTCAACATTCCCAAGTAGTAGTAGTTCAGAAAAGAAGATCATAGTCATATTCAAAATCACTGCAGAAAACGAATAAATTTTGTTCAATTACTCCCCCTTGCCTAGTTCAGAGAAACAGCCGCTACTTTGATGCTGTACCCCCCTCATCTAGTATAAATCACCTGGGGTCGGTTTTTCGAAAACCGGATTGCGCTGTCCACCTATGTAACCCAGATTAATTAAACTTTAAGCTGGAGTTCCACAAGCAACAAAATTGCAGCAACGAAATCTAATTTCAACGCATGTTAATTGAAAATGTTTACACGTAAATTACAAATCACAAGGCAACATGTGTCGACATTTCTACTTAACATGCGTTGAAATCAGATTTTGTTACAAGTTGCAGCAATTGTGTTGCTCGTGTAACTCCACCTTTAGTTTTGATTATAAAAATTCGAGGCTCAGATTTGACTCCCGATAACATTAAGGGACTATTAACCAATCAGATGTGTTTCATATGTTCGATTACATTAACCAATCAGATGCGTTTCATATATCCGATTAACCACCAATCAGATGCGGACTAAACAAATGAAAGGTAGTGGTAGCAGTAGTGGAAGTCAAATTAGAACCTCTATTGTGGGACCATATCGATTCCGTATTTTACAACGGTTGAAAAATCACTACCCCAGTGGATAGCGCTATCAGGCCTTCGTACAACCCCTTGAAAGTATAAATCACCTGTAATCCCGGCCAATAAGCATCAAGTGAGTGAAATGTTGCCATCGAGTATTTTCCTTTATACATGTTTGCCCAGATGTACCAATCATCTATTTTGTTGTATTTCACAATTTTCCCATACAATTCTAAAAAAATTCAAACGGAACTGAAAGATACGACACACTTGAGAAATGGTTCTATTTCTCCCACAAATAGAGGGTTGTTTTGACCTAGGTACTTATGCCTCACTGACTTGAGCTGCATCCTTCATAATT